CGGCCCTCCCGGTCAACCTGGACTCCCCGGTCCACATGGACCCCCTGGAGAGTGTCCTGGACATCCCGATTGGACAGGAGGTAAGGATCCCATTCTGTATACGTACTGTCTACAAACTTATCCCTGTATCTGATGTTGATAACAGTGATAACATCAACAACAGATACAGGTGGGAAACCTCTTTTCTAGTAACCTGTCCAGACGGTTACAGTGCGTTCCGCGGAATCTGCAACAGGGCGTTCAACACACCCAAGTCATTCACGGCCGCGGCCGCAGCCTGCCGTGCAGACGGCGGCACCCTCGCCATGCCCCGAGACGCCGAGACCAACACCTTCCTGAAAGCCCTGTACGGGTCTGTGAGCACGAGTCAAGTTTTCTGGTTTGGTCTGCACGATCAGCGCGAGGAGGGAAAGTTTGAGTGGATAGATGGCACTCCACTTATTAATGGGATCCGGACTTACAGCTCGTGGAGCCCGGGACAACCAGATAACTGGTATCCTGGCGAAGACTGCGTTCATTATTTCCCCTCTTCACAATCGGCGACAAAGAAATGGAACGACGCGCCGTGCAACCGTACCCTCGGCTTCATATGCCAAGTCAACCCAGCTACCTGAAGCTGTGCGTAGTGGCAATCTGTCTGTTTTTCTCGTAGTTCTGATGTCGTCTGATGGACAAACGGGACCTGCCATGGAAATTTCATGACCTATTTGTTCCATTTTTAAACCTCAGTCTGCTTATCTTCTCTTTTCTGAGTTGTAGAAAATAACTTGAGAGATGTCAAAGTAAGAATGTATTCTTAAGGTCACAAAACTTTGTACAAAACCAGATGTGCACATTTTAAGTGTTAGTATCATTAAATATTACATGATCAACTAAATTGTATATTAGACACTTCCACGTAGTGGCTGTTTGTTTTTATTACGATCCCTAATATTAGTGCTTAAGCACTATTCTTCCTGGGGTCAACATAACATGATAAAATGAAACATAAGTTACAAAACTTCTACTGTTAGATTCCCATATCGGATCTATTCTTAGCAAATCAGAGATCTTTATGTGTTTATATTTATATGGGACTTATAGTAAGACAATGTGCAAGGTACAAAACATAGTAGTCAAATACAGCAACAGCAAATATAATGTCATTCACATTAACATTATTGCCAAGAACTTTATAAATGGAGAGAGTGAAATCACACGATTTACGATCACTGTATATTCATTTATGTGAATTAAAAAAATCTTCCTCTGATAAAATTTATCATAATAGAGAGACAATGTGCAAGGTAAAAATACAGTCAAATACAGCAACATCAAATATAATATATCATTCACATTAACATTGATGCCAAGAACTTTAAAAATGGAAAGAGTGAAATCACGCGACTTATATTTATTTATGTGGATTTTTAAAAATCACCCTCTAATAAAATCTAATCCGGAAAAATGGTTGGTCTCTGAAACATCTTTGGTGATGCGCGTGGTCTTCCAACTCTTCAGTGGTCAGGGTCGACTTCATACAGGAAGCCGGTATCGGGCATCAGCACCCTGTTGTAGGAAGTACTCTGCACAAACACGCGCCAACTGGCGAGGAAAAACAAAGTGCAGGGTGAGTTACTTCAAAATAACAACAACATGAGCTAAAACTTTGACACAGCTGGAAATGATGCTAAGTACATGGCCTTATATACACTTGCAAGGTAGTGTATATGTAGAGGTGTAAATGTAGGTGTTTTTTTAACTATTACAGAAGGAAGAATTTAAGTTTCTATAACATGTTAGACATGATGACAGGAGAGGAACCAGACACACCTGTCCAGTGAAGCGGGTTTGATCCTGCCTGACCCTCCAGCACCGATCATGTCACACGCCTCGGGGCCAGTGAACATGTCTCCTGTGGTCTTGTCAACCAGCACCACCTAGAGATTATCGTAGGAAATACAGCAACAAAAAAAAACACATTAGTACGGGTCTTATTGCACGACGTTTCCTCTTCTTACATTACTATAGTCGTTGTTGACAGTTGAGACCAAAAATGTTCAAAAGACACTTCATCCCAAGATAAAATAAATCTTATATTACATGTCTGACGTTTTTTTCCTCACGTAGCAGAAACCTGTATCTAAATAAGTATGTAACTATTAGCTTACTCACAAAAATGTAGCTCAAGATATCTGACCTCTTTCTTATCGGAGATTTTCTCGGGCTTGGTGAACTCGTAGAATCCCCTCCCTGTCTTGAAGATCAGACTGTTGTTCGAGACAAACGTCTTGATGTCGCACCTTTCGTCCACGGTCAGGACCTAGACAGCCGGGTGAGAATACAACAATTATTATAAAAAAACTGTTAACATTCAAAATACACAGCAGTATCGATGGCTTTACATCACCAGTGACAGTGACATGTTATATGAGGTGACATATGATACCAGAATATCTAAGAATCCTGAATTATCAATCTCCTTTATTTTACTAAAATGTGTCAAAGAAGATCATCAAAGTCAATGCAGTTTCCATCCAGCCATTCTGAACCGAAGAAAGAAACACTAGCTGTCATTTCGAGTTCATGCCACAAAGAGTCATGGTGGTGAAGAAGAGGTGAAGTAAGCACAATTCTGACCACCTGTTTTCTGTATCTGTATCTGTATAGCCGGTATAACCGCCTTTCGGCGTAACACACCAGTTTTGACTTTTGAATAAGATATCTGCCACACATAATGATATTTCGGAACAGACTACAGTTTCCTATGGACCTGGAACCTGGAGGGTTTGACAGGCACCAGGTCTCCGTCTGCGGCGCCGGCGGCGGTGAAGGTGGTCGTCCTGCCGGCCAACACGTCAAACAACTGATGGAGCTCCCGGTTCATCCCGCCGCCACCTTTTCGGGAACGAACTTCTTTCTCATAAGCCTAGAGGAACACAACAGGCTGTTATACACACAAGCAGTTCACAATGTATACAGCAACCATAAATACAAATAACGTTGGGGCATACCAAATACGGGGGATTACAAGTATTACTAGTTTAGACCCAGGTTATGTTATTACTACCAGGTAATGTTACTCTCCCAAATACCTCAAAACTGCATTTACTTTATGATATATACTTACAGTTAGAATAACCTTGGGAACCAGGCATGACTTTTTTCTCATTAATACTGGTTGTTTTAAATGATAATTGACAATCAGAGTTTGTTGGAACATGCCCACTGCGTACATAGATGCAAGCAACATGTGTTTAAGAAATAGGTTTTTGCCTTAGGCCCCATTCCCACTAGGATAAAGTTAGCCCGATCGAGCCGAATGGATTCGATCCGGCTTCGATCCGGCTTCGAGCAAGCCGGCTTCGAGCCGGATCGAAGCCGGATCAAAGCAATTCGGCTCGATCCGGACAGTCCCTACTGGAAATGGGGCATAATATGATTATTCTTACCTCCAACTGATCGGCCCCACGCTCCCGGTAACAGATGGCCATCATGAAGTCCACGATGGAGGCGAACTGGTTCAGGTTCAGGTGGCAGCCGTGCGTCCTGCGCGCCAGTTCTTTGTAGAACTTGGTGGAGGGACCCCTGTTTAGCGCCTAGCAGGGAAAAATGCCGAACTTTTCATCGAACCTCATTGGCCTTAATGGTGTATAAGCTGATGCAAGGCATGCAGAAGACGCGCCCGCTGTATCTTCTCGCTATCCATCTTTTACCTCATACAGTCGGCATACTGTATTAGCAGATACTATTTTTTAACGGTGTCGCTCAATGCAAAGCCAATTATTTTGGGCCACTTCTAGGCATAGAGCTAGAGGTACTTAAGTGAGTATAATGTAGTTATGTCAGGAGATGGCAGTGGACCTTTGTTTTGAAGCTTTGTGGATTGTAATCGGACGGAAAGCAGCTGTTTGGAAGAGAGTTCCATAATTTTGCAGTCCGGGGAAAGAAGCTGTTGTTGTAAAATGACTTTGAGACAGGTATGTTGACGGTGTATTTATGAGAACTGGAACTAGTACGCAATCCAGACACCCTTGCTGTTAGAAATAGATGACAAAGGAAATGTTACGTATGGTTCTCACAGCTGTGTTCCAAGACCATCTATACTTCCAGTTACACTACAATTGTGTCTTACTGGGCCTCAAAGATATGTCTACATGGTCGACGCCATGTCTTTGCTGTCTGTATACCCCTCCCCATCGCAAATCTTTACCTGTACAGCATAGATGTGTACACCCATCTCCAACAGCAGGTCCGTCTCCTTCTTCCAGTCGATCTTGTCCTTGTTGAGGTGGAAGTTGGGGGCGTGCGGCTCACAGTCCCCGATCATGACCAGGGAGCGCTGTGTGCCGGGGGTCCAGGACAGCTCCGTACGGACCTGGGCGGGGGATCGATGTAGCGGTAAAGCCGTGTTACGGACTCTTCATTCACCGTGTGTGAAACAAGCACAAACGCACGCACGCACAAACAAACAAACAAACAATCAAACAAACGCACAAATGAAGGAACACACACACACATGAAGAAACAAACGCACACACAGAAATCGTAATCCTTCCTGTTCCAGGCTTACCTTCCGAAGCGCCAGTTCATAACACTCGTCGAGGTCGTGGCCGTAGGTGGCCTGGACGCTGTTGGCCCAGTTGCACAGCCTCTTCTGGTCAGTAGTGAAGTCCAGCCACGTCACGTCGTAGGTGGTAGTGGCGTCCATGTAGTCTCCGTGCGCCATGAGAGCCATGCGGATCCCGGCGATATCCTTGTGTAACCTCTTCACCACGTCCTGGATCTACAGGAGTAAGTGACCGATACACGAGCATTACACTCCTGTAATGTATGCCATATGCCTGAACATTAATATTCTCTTATTGTGTTTCCCGACCCCAACACAATTCAGTAGTTAAAGTACTCTGTATTCTTTTTGAATGGTGCTGCACCCTTTGGAAGCTAATGCTATTTAAAAATTCATGGATGCAAACAATGGCTACACAGATTCCACAAATATATAAACTACAAAACGCAAAAGCTTTATTTCAATTTAAAAATGGCCTTACCTTCTTCCTGACCTCTGCAAGGCAAGGATACATGGACCCGGTGGTGTCGAAACAGAAGACAATTTCCATCGGCCCGCCTCCTCCAGGGGGTGCGGGAGGGGGAGCCGACGTCCCTGCCGCTGGTTCAGCCTCTGGTTCAGCCTTCACTCCACGTTTCTTCGTAGCGGCGGTCGCAGCCGGCGCAGCTTCGGCCTTCCTCTTCTTCCCGCCTGCAGGAGGAGTCACCGCCGGGGCCGGCTCGTCCCCTCCACCGCCGACCTCGTACAGAAACTCGGTGTCCGGCATCAGGGCTCGGTTGTACGAGGTGCTCTGGACGAAGACGTCGAAGTCTGGGATCTTGGCCAGATCGAACTTGAACTTCTTCCCGGCGTCGGCAGGGATCCCCAGCGTGGTTCTGACCGCGCTGCCGCTGATGAAGGCTCCATCTGACTTCCTGCGCGCAACGATCTCCTTGTAGTCCTGACAGAAACAGGATGGCAACAAGAGCATTATCCTTAGTTCAGTGATTAGTTAAGCTTCAACGAGAAAGCCCATCAGACTATATACAAAATTTTTCTCCAGCTAAATCTTGATACTGACAAGAGGGGTCGATCGGTGTTAATATTTTTTTTGAATGACGACCTTTATTGCACATTTTTGCCACACTGGGCTAAGTACAGGTCAAAAACAAAATGAACAGATAGAGTTAACATATACAAAGTAAAACTTACTATAATATAAATTCAACTTACCCTCGCTTTTGAGTTACTAGTATAGTAGAGATAAAGGAACAGATATGATATCCTGGAAGTTCATCTGTGTTGGTAGAAGTCATTATTTCATAAGGAACAGATATGTTTTTCGATGGAAGGTTTGTCTATTTGCATTAGGAATATACTTTTCTACAGTGCTCAAGTGTATGATTAGGGAAATAGGTTTTGTGCAAACCTATTCAGTTCATTTCTCTCTTTACTATACAATCTACATATTTCTCTAACACTACTGTAAACACATACCTGTATGATCTCTGGCTTGGTCAGCTGATAGAAGCCCTTCCCTTTCTCGAACTCCAGCTTGTGGGCCGACACGAAGTCCTTGATGGACGTCTTCTTGGTGACCTTCAAGGTTCGGAACCGGGACGACTTGACGGGAGAAGCCATGTTGCCTGACGCCATGCAAATAGAAAATGTCACAAATGATAACATACCCGGACCAGCACATGTATTCTTTAGACTACTAGTATCCAAATATGTTGTATATCTGTAGTGTATGGGTGCTGTTGACGCTGAGCACCACCTGAATTCATGATATGTGAGTGTCATTCTTGATAAATTTTCAGCCCTTTGTGAGGATATATATCGCGTGCACAACTGTACCAAGGTCAGTTAGAATGTGATCCAATGAGCAGGTACTATAAAATAAAATACTTAGTAATAGAGTATTAATTGGTAGACGCTTCAGGTATCGTCCGATACCTTTCATCAGTGCAAGTGAAAGAGACTGTTTCATCAATTTCACTTGTACAGTGATGAAAGGTGTCGGACGATACCTGAAACGTCTACCTATTGAAATTCCGATCCAGTTTGAAAAGAGTAAACTACTCTATTATTTTATTACCACCCTTGATGAGTAACCTTCACCAACGTAGCAGGTACTATATAGTTATTCGGGGAATAATCCCTAGTACGCTGTTATCTCTGGCCGATCGGCGCGTTACTCCTGCTGACCTGAAACAACCCAGGACCAAAACAGCCGCTTGTGAGAATGGCGTGTGTTACACATCTCTCAACTGTCAGGAGCTGATTGGGCCGCCCAAGGACATTATATACACTTGTAGTATAATGTCCTTGGGCCGCCGCTGACCATTGGAAGGGTTGATGTTTATAATGCACGGACTTTGAACTGCGTTAATAATGCACGGACTTTGAACTGCGTTACACAAAAATACAAAGGGTCTATAGCATTTAACTTAGTTTTAACAGCATGAAATATAAATATACGAGATGAGGTCTTGCACGCGTTGCTATACGTATGTCTGTCATGTCTGTAATACGAGATACAGCAATCGAGAAGGACGCTGTAAACACGTTTACTTAATGGCCCTTAATAATTTAAATCTACTGACGATTATATCCAAAAGTGTGCGGAAGTCAGTACTAGTAGTGACATATACATGTCATGAATGTGTACACTAACATGCTACGGTGCCCGAATGCACTTACTGTAGGCACAGCGCTAGCAACCTGTACTCGCTCCGACTTGTTATTCGTACATGTTACAACAATAGAGAACCGCTGCCATGCCAATGTCATACGGGGTCAAGGCGGCTGTAGGAACTAGGCCCGTATATTAGTATTTACCAAATAACATGGGCTACACGCACAGCAACTTGTGGGTTGCATATACGACTTACCTTGATTCAGACACCTGCACTTGGATTCAGGGTCGGCGATCGTGCTGTCTTCCTGTCCCAAGTGTTCAATCGGATGGCAGTGTGCCCTGGCGACAACTGCAGCTTGTTTTGTAGGGAATGTTCAGGGGTTACGCCTACGCGTACCCGGAAGTGATATCGATCCTGCCTAGGCACGCCATGTGACGTAGCTGACTCGTACCCAGGATGTTTATTGATCTGTACACACGATGCCCAGGCAGGCAGGGAACGGGCCCGGGCAGGATACAAACAAGCCCGGGATATCCAGCACTGCGCCTGCCCAGCCCCCTGACGTCAAACGAGCAGCCAATCAGAGAAGGGATAGCCGGCGCGGGAATCCTATATAGGAAGCAGGTTGTGTTGGGTAAGACCAGACCCACATCTACTACTACAGGTGCACTTCAAGGAGCCGTGAGGCAAGAACGAAGAGATCTTCAACTGTTAGCAGTTCAACCATCCTTCAAACATCAGATTGACGATTATACAGTGTGAGGTAAGTGTTAAATTTCCAGAACATGACTTTTCTGGCGCGTCACAGTATTACAACATGGGTCTAATGGCCTCTAATGGATACGTTATACCTGTTACCTTAATTTTCCACCGATTAAAAGTGAACTATAATAATAAGGATATTTATAAGATAATAGGGATAATTATAAGATTAAGAGATGTTACACAATCTGTTAAGGGGCTGCTAGAATATTCCGTTCGATCTAACTGATATGAAATCTATATTTGATGATCCTTAAGTTTAAGTTCATTTCAAACGCCCCGTCCTTACAGACATCATGCCTGCCGCCGTCGTTCCTGCGTTCCGCTTCGAGACCCTGAAAGTTCCCAGCAAGACGAAAATCCGCGATTTCGTCAAGAACAACAAGCTGGAGTTCGCCAAGGGGAAGGGCTTCTACCAGCTGACCAAACCCGAGACCATCCAGCGCTACAAGGAAGTGGTGGCGCGTCGCAAGACGGACGGAGCCTTCGTCAGCGGAGACGCCGTCAGGAAAGTCCTCGGCATTCCCGAGGACGACACCAACTTCTCCCTCAACAAGAAGAACATCCCGGACTTCGACGTCTTCATCCAGAGCACGTCTTACAACCGCGTCCTGGTGCCCGACACGGAGTTCCTGTACGAGGTGACGACCGCGGCGGGAAAGAGGAAGGCCGAGGCAGCCGACGTCATGATTTCGTGTAAGAAAACCAAGAAGGACGAGACCGTCCCTTCTCCGTGTGTCCCTCCACACTTCCCGCCAGGTGGCCCCATGGAGATCGTCTTCTCCTTCGACACCACGGGGTCGATGGGCGGCTGTATCGCCGAGGTCCGCAGAGAGGTACGTACATGTATTTGTGAATTTTTTTCCAAACGTATTGCCAGATTTTGTCAACACAAACAACATCGTTTGTTTACAAGATTCAAGAAGAATATCTTAAATTTTCTCTGTTTCGCTGTTTGAATCGTTCTAACGTTAACGTTGTAACCACCTGTCCCCGCAGGTCCAGGACATCATCCGCCGTCTGCACGCCGACATCCCCGGCATCCGCATCGCCATCTTCGCGCACGGGGACTACCAGGACGCCGGCAGCACCTACGTCACCAAGTGGGTGGACTTCACCACGGACGCCGACAAGCTGTGCGAGTTTGTGCGCACCGTGGAGAACACGTGCGGGTACGACGGCGACGAATGCTACGAGCTTGTCCTGCGACAGGTAAGACCAGACTCTTGCTCAGGTTCTGATTTTCTTGTCTTCGTAAACAGTGAAAGGACGGGTTGAATTTGATCTACTGGCCTATATTTGTAACCTGTGCCCTCGAAAAATGTCAGCAAAACTAGTGATAGCGGAGTTATGGAAATTTAAAATTTATGCTAGATAATGGCAACAAACGCCCGCGCGGTGACTTGGAATGAACTCTGTGTAGATCGAGTAAAAAAATCCTCCATCTTCGCACAGGTCCGGACGGAGTTGTCCTGGACGCCGGGCACGCAGCGTTCCCTGGTGCTGATCGGTGACGCCGACCCGCACGAGCCCAGCTACGGTCTCAACACCGACAACATCGACTGGAGAGAGGAGACAGACAGGCTCTACAACGAGACCGGCGTGCACATCTATGCTGTACAGGCTGGCGGGTGAGTACTGTAACACGTGTGATGCATGAACTAGTTCTCTGCTTACTTTAACGTTCCACCATCGTCAATACTTGACCAAATCTAACCCCAGATGTCCTCTTTATTGTTAACAGTTCGTCCCGTGACATGGCCTTCTACAAGGACCTGGCCAACCGGACTCAGGGCTGCCACCTGAAGCTGGAGAACTTCTCCTGCATCATAGACTTCCTGATGGCCATCTGTTACCGCGAGCGTGGACCCGACCAACTCATGGTGGGTACACCAAGCGAGATATTCCTCTTTGATTCACTTGAGATTTATGCTGGAAATGGCATCGACAATCAATGTGTAAAGCTTAAAGATTACCTTGGTTAAGCTGTTACTGCTTTGAGTACAGATCTCCGATAGTCTTCAGTGGAAAAAGGACAATATCAATGAGAAATTGTACTGCTAGAGACCACATTCGTAAACCGTCCTGTAAAACTCATCATGCACATGTCCCGTCTTTACACCAGGCCTATGAGAATGAGGTGCGTGCCCGGTACACGGCCCCCGGTGGGCCGGCCATGAACAGGGAACTACACGGACTGTTCGACACACTGGCCGGCAGGGGAGGAGATGAGGCTGAGACAGATTCTCCACCCAGGTGAGATTTTTACAAGTCTTTCCAGAGAAGCTGGATCCAAGCTACATTTGTGAGATTGTCGAGAAGAATTGGCACAAACTGAGACTGCTGTTCTAGGTTGCAATCTTTTTTCAGAGTCTTGTCTCAGTTGTCTGACTAGACATTATTTCTTGTCCCTCACAGGTTGGTCCGGGCCTCCACACCGCTCCTGACCCCGCCCACCACCCCACCGCGTGCCAGCGGACACACCCCGTCCCCACCGCGCACCCCGACACGCAGGACCAGGCTCAGCCGCCATGGCCGCAGGCGCTTCGGCAGGCGGTCACCCAGGATCGCTGCCCGGCTACTGCGCAGGTCACGCCGGCTTGTAGCCAGACAGCTGTTCTTCACTTAGTAAACATTAGATGGTTATGACTAACACTTCGCAGTGTTGCAGTGTTAGAACAAGTGTTGTATCATAATACCTGCTCTTGAATTCTACCTGTATCTGTATTCTGTATTACATGTACCTACTGCTCATCTTTGTTCATGTACAATGTACTATGCTAACTTCTACACTATATATAGGTGTATTCGCTTTTACATATTCTATGTATATATTTATATTGCAGCAGTGGCTGATGTGATAACTGCAGTAAATATTTTGTCTGTCATTAAGTTTAAAGAGATTATAAGAATTTTTGAAAAGGTGTAAATATCAATGTACTACACAATGTTGTGTAAAATGTAGTATTGTACAACTGCAGAAATCAACTATCATTGTTAGGGGATTTGTAATTGTAACAGGGAACTCCTTAACTTTTGTGTGGTTATCTTTAAGAAGAAAGGGTAAAATATTTGTATGAAAAAGAGTGAACTTAGTCACATCTGAAATGATGAGGTGAAAGTTGATCAGGTGAAAGTTGCAATAAAGTCTGTAAACCCTACCCCACTTTCATGTTCCTGATTTAAGTGTAAAGCAGTTAGCTAGGTAAAATTATTCCTCAGAATAGTAACTTTGAAACAACTAGCTATTCATCCTGAATGTTCAAGTACCCCAGTCTTTAACATTATTATTTCAACCTCATAACTATTCAACATACTAGCATCTTCAGTTCAGGGGTTGGGTGGGGACAATGTAACCCAATATACGCCTAACATTTCACCATTCAAAACTTTATAATCAAATACATGTACAAGGACCACTTTTCAGCCATTCTGTGCCCCCCAACTGAGATTGTGGGGGTTGGGTTAAAGGCATCCAATGCAATTTCAGGAAAACTGGAAATATTTTGAATAAGGCAATCTTTGTGATAGTGACACATACTGCTTCACAATCAGCATTTCATTTAAAACTGCAGAAACAAGCCCCAAGATGAGTCCTTTATTCTCTGGGTGGTACCCTAAAAATCAGCCCAGGGCCCTTTCAGTATCCATTTTCCGTCAGAATTTTTGCTCCACGAGGGTCAATATACATTGTAATAGCGTGCTTTCAACTCAGTATGTAGATAAGTGACTAGAACATTGACTTTGAAAAACCAGGTTTCCAAGCCCTATAAACTGCATTGGATGCCTTTTAATAGCCATGTACAGCTACCATAGCATACAGTCACCACTCCTGCACAATATATCAACAAACAAACAAACAAACAAACAAGGATGGACACACCAGACCAGTACTGAGGAAACCTTGGCAGTTTTATTTCTGACCAGAGGTTACTTGTATGACATGACTCTCCTGTGTTCCTCCCACATTACTGGGCCTTCCTCATAGCGGTTGCCACCTGGCCAGCGATCCGGTCGAGATCCCTCTGGCCCTGGGACGTTAACCTGCGGCCACTGGGGGAGGAAAAACAAAACAGTCAGAAATCTGATATACATACCAGGTATTGTCATTGAAGTAACATATGCCAAGTTAACAGCTGACTAAAAGACGTCAAAGGAACTCAAAAGGTTGTAAAATGAAACTGACACATCGTTTACTAAGGGAAGACCTCCTAATGTTAAGAGACATCTGCAAATTTTGCCACCATACCGCATACAACTGTTAATACAGAGATCAGTCCCTTACACCGTGTATCTGTATAGAGGTTTTCATGGACGTCATAATAATTATACAAATCTCTGCGAACAGGTGTTGGCGTGTAAACTGACTAAGTAGTAGTACATTGTATGTTGGCATGTTTAACATGTGAAAAGCCTGTAGAGCCAGTATAACTGCACTTCCTTGCAGCAGCTTCTGGTTACATAACACTGTGCCACACATAATATCTTTTGCACATCTAACTGCAATCGCTGTGAGGAAAAGCTGTCTAGTGAGGATACCCCTACTGCACTTGCTGGCAATAACTTCCACTCCACAATAGTTCTAGGGAACAACCAAGCAGCCATGTTGTGAGGATACCCCTACTGTATTTGGTGGCAAAAAGTTCCTCTTTACAATAGATCTAGCAAAAATTTTTAAAAACTAGCAGCCAAGTTGTGCCTGTAGTCTCCACCTACCCTGCAGCGTCCTTCTCCACCATCTTGATCCCCTCCAGCGCCTGTAGGACCGTCCTGGACACGCCCCGGGAACAGACACGGAACTTGGCGGGCTTGGTACCTCTGCGCTTGCGGCCGCCGTAGATTTTACACATGGCCCCGACGCCTACTCCACCACGCATGTACAAGTGTCTGGCTGTGGACGCTGGGGAGGGGGGCACAGGGAATGATTGGCCTCAACTTTTCATGATACAGTTTGCCTACCATTGACAGTGTTAGAATTACCCATCTGCAGTCTACATTTTGCCGAGAAATTTTCAATGTTGCAGAAGAAAAATTAAGCAACCTAAAATTCTGCAGACTGAAAAAATCATTCAGCTTAGGGGTTCAATGGTGTCTGTATTGTTTAGGAGCTTTTGTGCTTACTACTGACTTTCTATAGTGGTATATACTAGTTATGCATGTATTTTTCAAAACATGCAATTTTGTATGGGTTTTGAGTCAGGGCATAAAAGTGTATATTTGCAGAATGTATTTCCAAATTGCAGAATGATATTGTGAGATTCTGCCATATTGCAAAACATTGAAAAAAGTATTTCTACCACTGATTGATGATATAGAAGTATTATTCTTTAGGCAGTGGAAACATTTCACCCATGGTAAAAATGCTTCTGGCTCTCTTAACACAGCACAACAATTCAAACTGGCAAATACATGACATGTCCTGACCTGCTCTGAGGTAAAACCAGTCAGGGTCGTAGGGTGCCAGTTCCTTGTGGGGAGCTGTCTTCACCAGGTCCACCCATTCAGGCAGCCTCAGCTTACCTGACCTACAGGACAACAGTGGGACATTTCTGGTCAGGCACAAATTTCATCCAAGCTGTAGTATTTTAACTTCTGTCTCTCTGCACTAGAAAACTATTGCTCTCATCTGCTAGAAACTTATCTAAATGTTATATTAACTTAATAAGTTATGTAGCTGTGAATGTTGAAGTAACACCGGTAATGACTGCAAGGTATGGTTGTCAAATGAAACATGAAAAAACCATATGCACTAACTTTGAACGTTCCGTTGTTAGAATACAACATTGTACAGATTTACTAATTTTGAGGGCCAGTACAATTATGTTGTAACTGTTTAGGGACAGCAAATCACATTCTATACAATTATGCATACATCTATGATAATCCATTAAGTTTTGTGGCCTAACTAAAACATCAAGTCAAGATGGTATGCAGGTATGCAGGTTAAGTCTGTAGCACATAATTTTATACATTGTGAAACAAAATCATTGTACACTAATCTCATCAAGTATCAAGTACAAAAATCACACGGGATGAGGAAGGGTTTCTTCTCTTCAACTTCAAGAGTCACAAGGGTGTGGAACTCTCTTTCCCAGGAAGCAGTGTCTAGCAAATCAGTAAATGAGTTCAAGAACCATATTGCACACGAGTGGAAGAATCACCAGGATATGTACAACTACACCTTTACGTACTGAACACATGAGAAGAATTGCTACCGCCGAAACTACCCGAAGTGCGGTCTCATTACCCACATAGGGTACCTATTGACCGGCTACAGGTGAGAAATACAGGTGAGAAATGTCTAATTGGTTCAGAAGGTAGAAAGTACTCATGTACGGTACAGTACGGTCTACACACAATTTTTTTCAGTAACTTACTTCTTGAGGAAGGCCGCAAAGGCCTTGACGAACTCTTGCTGGTTCACGTCTTTTACTGTCACACCACCAGGCATCTGTGAGGAAGCATAAATATACCTTAAGTTTTGTATGACAGCAATCACCTAGTCAAGCTACAAAATATCTTAACACAAAAGGGACAGTAAATGGCTTGGTAAAGGGTGGCAAAAAATTTCATTTTATCCTAGATGGGGGGGGGGGCAAAATTTGTGTATGATGAAACAGGTTTTTCTGGAAGACATTTCGTACTTGGTTCAACTCTTGAAGACAAAAAATAGTTAACTTAGGTAGCAGAAACAATTGGGTAGAGGAAATAAGATAGTGGAGTACAGACGTTTCATGCTATGAGCAGCTGTGTCTAAAACGATCGGCATCCGCCATTTTTTACTATGACCATGTGCATGCAAGTCGCCAGAAAGAAAGCGAGATCAGGCCCTTTTTTCCAACACATTAGTCGCTATGGAGACACCTTATATCATCTCGTTGTAATCTTGGATACTTTTTTGTTCATTTGGATCGAATTTTTAATGCATGGTATACATTGGAACAGAAATATTGGCCATCAAACGCGTAAAGTGAAATCTCAGACCTACCTTGAAAATGGTGGCAAGGGAAAGAGGCCGAGAAAGGGAAAATATCCCGGATGCCACGTGAACCTTCGCGAGATTTGACTCAATGACTAACATTTCTGCAGTTTTTACAAGAGTCGCTAGCTGTCATTGCTGCGCGGTCCTTTAAATGTTACATTCATTCCTCAAACCATGGATTGCTTCTAGACTTACAAACCATGTATTGCACCAATAATGCATCAATGCAATTCTCTGAAGTGAAGAATGTGTCAGTTGTGTAATATATAGTAATCTTGATTTGCAAAACTAAACATGCGTGGTCCAGAAAACTACAGAACTAGAAATCTGCAGTACTAAACTGCTCCGTTCGTGTCGCTTATTCAGACTGTGACCCGAACACATGTGTTCCAGCATGAGGGGCGTACTCGTATCCCTCTAGTACAAAATACCTGGTTTAGAAGAGCTGAATCTGGTCGTCATTCGCTGTAAAGCAGTTGAAATAGAACCAAGACCATCACTAAGTGATACAGACAGGTAAACATTGTCCCTTTGAACGATAAAATTGGTTTGAAATTCATTGTGGGTGTGGGAGGGGGGCAGGAAAATTCTCTTGAAACGCTCTTCTTGCCTCAATTATGTTTTGGCCAATGAAAGTTTTGATAACATGTATACAGCATAATTATTTGTACGATGCTTAGTAGCTTCCAGAAATTGAGCTCATATATTCAGTATTCTTCAAATTATTACATAGTTATAACGTTACAACTTTCCCCCCAATTATCACCAACTGGCTGCATAAATTTAATAATTAGGAAAATGCTATTCCATAGATTGAATAACATTAAGGAAGTTAACGTTACTTCATGTAACAACAGTAACTGTTTGGGCAACACTGATGATCTTGTATAATTACAGAAGTGAGATGGACCAGTGTGTGCTTGTGTCAGCTGACAACAGCCACGCCCCCATCCCCCTGTCACATGACCAGCCTGTGGTCCTGGGGCGGGGTCCACTAACCAGAATAGCTGACAAGAAATGCTCCAGACAGCAAGGTACATCTACATCCTCCATAGTATTACACTCCATAGTATTTTTATGTCCTACTGTAACCTGTGTTTATTTAGGATTCTTAATACTCAGCATGTGTCCACTGTGAAACAACTAGACTTAATACCTTAGGCCTAGGAAAAAAAATGTTGTTTCCTGTTTCCCGACTGACCCTAGAAAAACCTGCCGACCCTAGACTTTTTTGGGGTTGGACCCCTGCATGATCTGAAACCTGAGTGATAAAACATTCTACAATTGGTTTTCTGACATTGACATTGAAAATAAAAGTGTCCTCATGCAAGTTTTACTTTGTTAAACTGTATTGTATAAGTTAGACCCCTATATAGATATCACTGAAGTCTAAAAAAGAAAAAAAAAAAGATAATCCCTACCTACCGACCCTAATTTTTGCAGGACTGAAACAGGAAACAACCTTTTTTTTCTAGGCCTTCATAGACCTTAGTTCCTCCTGTGCCTGCATGATGGCACATTGGGTGGCAAGTTTCCACTTCCTTTTGTCAGCAACTACTGTTTGAGAGTATGATTCTATACAGCTAACCTTGTTCTTATCTTGTTATTTCCAGTTGAACTGACTGTGGACATTGAGAAGAAAAGTGTGACACTGAAACAGGTTTGTTTCCCATTCAGCAGTTATATTGTTGTGTATACTCCATAAACTAAACCTCTCTCGTAAGATTCACCCTTAAATAATATGATTTAGAAAAAAAAGTGGTGAACTTTGGGCCCCCTCTATCATATAGTTATATACTGTAATGTAGGGTATCATCTCTTCTAATAAAGTTCTATGATGTAGGACTAACAGGTGTATTATCTACTAGTAATTATGTTGTACTCCAAGAACTAAATAGACTTTCAGGAGTTGCATAGAGATCTTAAACAGACATAATTTGCTCTGTAAAAGAAATACATGTACATGTACAATGAAGTCTTTCATACGTTAAGTAAATCAATGTGGAATTATGACATTTTTTGCTTTGTATGTTTGTTTATTTGTTACACAGTTGGGTGCCAATCCCTGCAGTGTTGGAGGAAAAGAGCTCAACTCAAATGAAACCACCACCCTGCACCATGGGCAAGACTTCTGTATGCTGTTTGACAAGTTCCCTCAGCGTGTAGAATTTTCTTCATACACAGACACCAAGAAGCCCCAAAATAAGCCAAAAGAGGCTAAGACTAAAAAACAAGACACTGATAGTTCTTCATCAAGTAAAAATATCCTGCACTTTTTCCAGAAGAAACAAGGGGTCAAAAGACCACCCAGTCCCGAGGCAAACCCTTTACCTGTAAAGAAACTAAAGCCTGGGAAGAAGTTGGCGGCCATGTCAGACAGTGAGGGGTCAGAGAATGATGATGACATTGTGCAGGGCAGGGGGGTTAACCCGGGGAAGTCACCAGCAAAGGAGAAGCTGAAAGACATGTCAGACAGTGAAGAGTCGGACTCAGAACACAGGAAAGACATCCAGGAGAGACTGAAACGTTTGGGACAGATGTATGAGGCACAGTCTCCAGAAAAAGGAGCAGCAAAACCAGAGAACACAGGAGGGAAAGTTAGACCTGGGGGATCAGCCATGTCAGGTACACCAACCACTGATGCATGCTGGGAAGAATTTGGTGAACTGCTAGTCTATACCAGCAAGGGTGTACAGGGTTGTAGTAAGGTCGCCAGTTTTGACATTGATGGAACGATTATCGTGACCAAATCTGGGAAAGTGTTTGCACAAGACACTTTTGACTGGAAAATTGCCTTCTCAGAAGTTCCTGGGAAGCTGAAGAAGTTGATTTCTGAAGGATACAAGGTCGTCTTCTTCACCAATCAGATGGGAATCCAAAGGGGGAAGATCAATGAGAAGGACTACAGAAGGAAGGTGGAAGACATAGTGGCCAAGCTTGGCATTGCAGTTCAAGTTTATGTTGCTAGGGGGAGTGGGAAGTACAGGAAGCCTGTAACAGGCATGTGGGACCATCTAGTGGAGAGGGGAAATGATGGTGTACCTGTGGACAAGGATGCCAGCTTCTACATCGGGGATGCAGCAGGAAGACTGGTGAACTGGGCCCCGGGGAGGAAGAAGGACTTTGCCTGCAGCGACCGTCTGTTTGCGATAAACATCGGACTCACCTTCCACACTCCCGAGGAATATTTCCTCGGCTACAGGAAGGCCACGTTCAAGCTACCCGACTTTGACCCAAGAAAGCTGGATGCGGATGGTCCTCTGTACGCTCAACCCACTCTTTTGTCCTCGGCACCCGAGGTTATAGTGATGGTGGGATGTCCCGCTTCGGGAAAGACGTTCTTCGTCAAACAGAACCTGGTGTCCCAGGGGTACGTCCACGTGAACAGAGACGTGCTGGGTACGTGGCAGAAGTGCGTGGCGGCGTGCAGCCAGGCGCTGGCCGGCGGGAAGGGCGTGGTGGTGGACAACACCAACCCTGACGTGGAGTCCAGGAAGCGGTACGTGGACTGTGCGCGCCAGGCGAAGGCGCCGTGCCGCTGTTTCGTGATGGACAGCTCGCTGGACTTGTGTCGCCATAACAACCGGTTCCGCGACATGACCTACACGGGTGCGGGGCACGTGAAGGTGGCGGATCCCGTCATATTCTCATTTCGGAAGAAATACGTGGAACCTCAGATATCCGAGGGGTTTGACGAGATCATAAAGGTGAACTTTGTGCCAAAGTTTGAAGACAAGAAGCTTGAGGCCATGTACAGGCAATTTTCAGGTTAGGTCTGGACGAAGGTCACAAAAGCAAAGTAAAAAGCATCATTTTCTTCTTAGTTTACATAGCAAATAGTTCACAACAAGTTGGTAGTGCCAAATGGAAAGAACTATTCCATACTTCTTTTTATGACAATGTTCTGTACTGGGTTATTTCATTCAAATAGTTATAGTCAAGTCCTGTTAAGGTAAGAAAAAGGAACACCAAACCATGTCACCAATGATACAAGGTAACAGAAATTATACAAAGCCCATGCTTATACATGTGAATCAACTACATGTACGATGTATCTTAATGTAATTGTTTATTTCAGGCTTGACGGCCCAAATTGACAAACACATACGCAAACATATCTCAAAAATTTTACTAAACACTGTATACCTACAAAAGAATATAATGTAATATACAAAGGTAAGGCCCAATTAATGAAACAGTCATAAAGTTTCCAATTTCTGAGCACATTGCAATTAAATGTCACTAGTAATACCAAAATCAAATTAAAATTACTGATACAAATTAAAACATCAATCAATGTTGCTAACACAAATGTTTAAATAAGTAGGTTCAGGTACAAATAGGAAGGTTCTATGCAACCAACGAGGTTAGAAAGATGCAACTGTACCAGACATGCAGAAATGTAGGTCTGTATGACTGTTGTGATTCTTCTAACTTAGCCTAACTCCAGGCGTGTTTGAGGCTCACTCCATTGTCTGAGGTTTATAAAGAAGAGAAACAGTGCTTCAGATTGCACAGAAAGCTGCTTCCAATATTTTTACATTACATGGTGTGTAATGGTGTGATGACCAGATGATGATGATAGTGTGTAACGTTATTGCCTTGTCAAAGAAGAGGTAGGTAGCAGCAATAGGGAACCAGCAGTAACTATGGAGGATGGCAACCTGTCTACAGACGAGATGTCCCAAATGGGAGTTTCCTCTAATGGCTAGTTCCTCTTTAATCAGATGACTGTCGTAACCCGAGGCATTATTTTTATTCTTTTGTCAAACCAAATTGGATCTTTACTTCCTACAAGTGTGCTGAGAGCATGGTTACTTTCTTCTGGTTCGCACCCGGAGATGAATTTTACACTTTAGGATTATATCATTTATTGAATGCACTTTTCGTTTCTTTCGATGGCAAGGCAAGGAGTTCCTGAATAGTGTCGACGTCCCACTATGAGTTTCAGTTAATCTCCAATCAGATTCTGTGGGGCAAGGGGAGTCTATATTGGCCTCTTGTAGTTTTTTTACTGTAGGCCAGCGGATACAGGCGGCAAAATATAGTCTCCCCTTGCCCCGTGGAATCTGCTTGGAGCCTTGTTTTAAACAATGCTCACTGTAACTTAATCATGCGCAACCCTCCGCGTCACAAGGTGAAGCAGAAACTTGACGCCTTGGGCAATTCTGGTTTCAAAACTAGGGCGAGGTGTGCTTCAACCATGGCTGCGGATCGTACGGACCAGTGCCGCCTTTCCTACATTTATGGAGTCCTCGCTGTCTGTTTCGCGGGATTTTGTTGGTGCCAAGAAGTGAAGACCGTATCCGTCTTCGAAAATGCCGACGTCGGGACAGCAGTTGTCAACATTCCTCTACTTTTCGGCATTACAGCACACGTGCACACGGAAAAAGCGGAACTTCCGTGTTCTGTTTTAGACGGAGACCGGTATGGCCGCTTCGCCGTGGACGAAAACTGTACCCTTGTTGTCGACAATCCCTTGGATTACTCGGTCCAGTCGGAATATGTTCTTAAAGTCCTTATCTCAGGACGGGTCCACCGAGAGGTGAAGGTAAGGCTACAAGTCCATGACGTCGTGGACTATCCCCCGGTCTACAACATCACCTGTGAGACACCTACAGTTAAACAGAATGGGGAGAGATCAACATATTTATTTCAGGTGGATGGGAAAGGAGAGGGTGTAACGAGCGACGGAGACGTTCTTTCAGCTAAAGTAAGATATCCTAAACCGAATTGGGATCTCTTGCCTTCAGATCACCCACAGCTCATGGTGAACACGGACAACGGGGACTGTAGGGTCGATCTGTTTTGGGCTGTCTATCAAGCAATCGACGAAGCAATTGTTGATAAGCTCTGGTTGACAAAGGTACATTCTACAACATGTTTCAGTGGGCCTGCCTCCGATCTTAATAGCTCAGTCTTCATGATAAATTTAATCGATAAGGAAGCAAACTATGATCCTCGGCTGAGTTACGTAAGAGAGAACGTCCCTGACAGCTGGATGGAAAGTGATTTTCAAAAGTATATTGTCTATTTTTCTGTGACAACAATGTCAGGAGACAAGCGACGTTTCGTGTGTCAGCTACCAGAAACAATGCCCTCCATCAAAATTAGACCAGTAGAAGAGTCTTTAATGACAGTTGACATTGTTGCCTTCAACTACATGTGGGCAGAGATCAAACCAGTCGGCTGTCCGCCAGGAAGATACGGCTGGGCATGTCAGAACATGTGTATATGCAGGAACGGGGCATATTGCCATGCCTTCAATGGAGCCTGCAAGTGTCAGCAGGGGTGGACAGGTGTGGCCTGTGATATTCCCAAAGATACCGTCTCCATTGTAGCGACACCTAGCGATCCTCGCGATTTGTACATCTCCGGAAACGTGACACTGCGCTGTGAAGTGTACGATGTCGACGTCGTGACAACGTCCTGGATATTTCCAGATGGGTCTGCAAAAACAACGACAGGTGCCGACGGCACTGAAATTACGATCTCCGACATAAAGACAACAGACAATGGACCCTACACCTGCCAGGTTAACGACTCACGTGGGGACGTTTTCAAGACAGACGTTGTGCTGAACGTGGATAGTTGCCCTCCTGACAGAACAGGCCAGCACTGCGAGGACGTCTGCGGCTGCCGACAGGGTGCCAGTTGTGACCGGTGGGCTGGCTGCGTGTGCCCCGCTGGATGGACGGGACGCAGGTGTCAGACCGCGTGTCCGCAGGGCACGTACGGGTACGGCTGTAGGGAGACGTGCGAGTGTGAAAACGGCGCGTGTCTGCCTAGCGACGGCGTGTGTAACTGCACAGAGGGCTGGTTCGGACAGGACTGTAGCAAGCCCTGTTTACCTGGACGTTACGGGTGGAGCTGCCATCAAATCTGCACCTGCAAAAACAACGCCACGAGAATGTCCGACTGACCTGTACGGAATAATGACGTCGTGTTGGGCGGCTGACCCATCGGCAAGACCCAGTCCTGAAACACTTATCGAACGCATTCATAAAGTACGGATGGACAATTGTCTACTTGTTGAGTTTGAGACTTCAGTTTAGTATTCATCATCTTTCCTGTATACGAGTTTGTAGTCAGTTAAGTAGTCATGGTAATTATCATATTCGGTTTCTCGTGTTTCTTATTATATCATACTTATCATACCAAATATGTACTGGGGCGTGCAGCAATATTACGTTAAAATTACATTAAGCGGCATGTTTCGTCATGTGCATATAGTTTTTCGATGCATATTATACTATTTTACGGAGGTAGTGGATATGATTTGATTGTATCAGCAACTTTTATAATAGTCTGCGTAACTTGGTCGCAGTGTACGTGTCTACTTGTTTGTACCTTAGTACTTGGTTGAAATAATAAAAATTAAAATACGAATGGTTTTGCACATCCACTACTGACACTACTATATGGCGTTTTGACGGAAAAAGAACCTCACTTCAAACCTTTCAAGCCTTACTTCAAGCCTTACTTAAAACCTTACTTCCACGCCAAAAATGTATTTTATTATAACCCAAAACTCAAACTTCTGCTTGGAGAGTAGAGTGCCCTACGTCTAATCGACCCACTAGACAGCGATAGTTTGTAAATGTCACACAGACTACGATCAAGACCTCGATTCTCTTTATTCCGTAAATCAAACATGAGTCGATATTACTCCAGTAACAGGTAGGGCAGTTTTTGAGGTAGCCTGGGTGGCAGACCCACATCACACCACTCGGCTCAAAGTTATTTTGTGTGTAGGATAACTTTGAGCCTACTGTGCTGTGGGTCTGGCACCCAGGCTATTTTTTAGGCGTGATTAACGTGAGAGAATCGTGGTCTCAGACTTTCTTTTACTAGCCTCTACCAGGCTTAGAGAGGCGGCTGGAAGGGCTAGAAATCGCCAAATAGAGAGACAACATGCCGGGTGAGTTTATTGGTCCGCTAGAGAGTATACTAGTGGTTTGCCTCCTCCCGAAGCTAGCCTCTACCAGGCTTCGGGGGGGAGGCTGGAAAGAGTAGAAATCGGCCAAGTAGAGAGATAGCATGCCAAGGGAGTTGGTCCGTGGAGAGAACAGTTCGCTGCTCTCGAACTCCCTTGACATGCTATCTCTCTATTTGGCTGATTTCTATTCTTCTCAGCCACCTACCGAAGCCTGGTAGAGACTTTACAAGTTACGCGCCAAAAACGGTGACCTCCGACCTTCGCGACGCATGCGTCACACGTTCACCCAAGATGTCTGTCGTTCAGCGCACTCCAGCGGCGGGATGGCCGAGAAACACCTCCCAGTACGGCGGGCAGTACGGCTCCACCCGCTCCCTCACCCTGGACAGGACCATCAACCTGTAGGTTCAACACACACCAAATATCAGCTCACGGGGCGGCGTGGTTTTGGAGCAGGAGGGGTGGCTTGGGTTGGGGTGATGGGACACACATGGATGTAGCAAAATAATAATTTGTTTCAGGTCTCATCATCAGAAAGCCTCTGTGTCCTAGAAAAGTGTTCTTGTGGAACTGTGAAGAACTGTGTAATAGTGTGATAGTGTAGATTTTTGCAGATTTTTTCAAGACATTGTTATATCTTGAGCTAGGCATGAGATTGCATAGTGTTTGTTGTGTGCCCCCCTCCCCACAGAAGGTTTACTTTTATAACAATGCATTTCAATGTGTTACGGGATATAACATTAACAATGATACATACATGTACAATGTATTTGGTATGCATTCTTATAAGCGGTAGTGTATTACATTATGTTACACCTGTACATATCCACGATACAAAGAAAATGTTTATCAGTCAGTACAAAACATTTGAAGCATCTGGTGGTGACACTTGTTGTTGTAACTGATCTAATTTGCATAATTTATTTTAATGAGGTAAAAATTATGCAACCAAACACATAACACTTTTACAGATCATTTTTTACAGATCATAATACTCCTGTACTTGCAAAAAAGATGTGTTATTGTGTGTGAGTTTTCAATTTAGGCATGGTAATAAACTTCTCACTTCTTGCCATGCCTTCTAGGTAACGTTACATGTATTGGTAATGATTTAGTTATTGTATCAGGAAAAAACCCTTTGTACATGTATGTATACCATGGCATATCTTGAGCAGGTATCCCCTCACAAACTACACATTCGGCACCAAGGAGCCCCTGTATGAGAAGGACAGCTCGGTACAGGCGCGGTTCCAGCGGATGAGGGAAGAGTTCGACAAGATCGGGATGCGGCGGTCGGTGGAGGGGGTTCTACTGGTGCACGAACACGGCCTGCCGCATGTCCTGTTGTTACAGCTGGGGACCACTTTCTTCAAACTGTGAGTATCAAGCATAGGTTTGGTCTTTGATGTGGTTAGATATTTAGCATAAGTTTTCTTAAACGACTCTGTCATGTGGCATCTGGTGGCGTAGTGATAAAACCTATGAAACTGTGGGACCCGGGTTCGATCTCGAGGCGTACCCAGGACATGTCTGGACATGTGTCCCGGCGTTGTGCCTTTGGGAAGGGCACTTTACACGAGTTTCCTCACTCCACCCAGGTGTGAATGGGTAGTGGGTACCTAACTTTGGTTGGGGAAAGTCGTATTGAGGTCACCTGGTGGTGCCGAATGGCAGCCACACAGACCCTTGCGACAACTGCACAAATGTGTGTGGAGCAAATATGTAATATGTGTCATGTGTATTATGTGATTGTAAATCAATTAAGTGCTATAAAAGGCTGCGATTGCACGGGAAATGTTTGACCAATAAACCATTTATTAAAAGATAAATCCTTGAATGATACTTTATCATAATGCCTTGGTCAGCAAATGTTGACAGGAACATCTCCCTATCTTTACCTCACTTTGTCTTGTAAGTAAAACAACTTGCATACCAGAAGGAAGCTGCTTTTGAGACTACCCTATCAAAAAAGTAACATATAATTGAAACATAGAAGTAGTTTTGAATTGACGTATATTATTATAAAATCAGAGAATATCTGGATTGCCTTTCTGGATGTCTAGTCAGAAATGCCACCTTGCAATGATATGCCAAAGTGCAGCTGCAACATTTGCGTCATACAGTAGACCTGAGCCTGACGGTATCATTTTTTTAAACCTCTGTGTTTTGTTGTTCTGTCCCACACAGACCTGGAGGGGAGCTGAATGTGGGGGAGGATGAAGTGGATGGGCTGAAGAGACTGATGAATGAGGTAAGACTAAGAGTATGACAGGCTTGGAATGACTAATCGTGTATTGCATGGTTCTGGGTTTGATTCTCACTTAACATTGTTCCCCCTTCATTTTCAGCACTTTCTTCTATCTTTGTTTAACTCTCTCCTTGCTGGCAGATAATGTAACTACCACTGAGTACCAGTAGTAACAATTGGGTGCTTATGCCACGGCAAGGAGAAGGTTAAACAGATAGAATATTCCTATACTGTTTTGTCAACTGTGTTATATCCCAAATAGTTAACCTTGTTTTATCCCAAAACCTGCATGCAATCTACCAATACATATTACAAGGGGGTTATCTGATTCATGCATGTACTAGTATGTGTATGTATCTTTGACAATAATTTATTGTTGTTATTTTTTTGAAACCGTAAACTTGGTACAATTCAAGCTTTGTTTTTTCATCATTTTGTATTGTCTGAAGTATTCTTGGCCCATAGACTGACTTACTACTAGCATGTTGTTCTAAAGTTATGGAGGGTTTGCGTAAGACACAGAACATGGTTCAACTTTTCTAACTCATACTAATGAGTCATACATATTTGTATTGCCTGCCACACAACCCTGAGTTGACTGTGTGGAATCACTGGAAAATAAACCATGCAGTTCTAGAGCAAAGTGACAGAGGACTCTCTTGGCCATCTGAAAACAATGGGAAACCTTGAAACAAGATTGAAGATTCAAATACATGTAATTATAAATGCACAAAAACATTCCATAGGTATTAATGACATTTCATTTTATTACACACTGAAAATCCCGTTTGTCCATTGTCTACTTTGTGAGGCCTTAAGAATCCTAATACAGATAAGAGCAGCAAATTTCTATACTGTAGACAGTAGTACAATTTGAAGACAAATGAGAAAATCGACTTTATGGAGAATCATTTCCATGCAAACCGTTCTTAGCAGTCTCTGCCAGTTCATGTCATAGCAGTTTATAACCTGAGCTTATCACAGTTTGGATCATGGTAGATAAAGTTACCGGTGACGGTGAGGAATCTTTCAGAACCAAGAGCCCTCTGTCTTGTCACGCCGGTACTTCAAGGTTACATGAGTAGGCAGAGCTCGACAGAACTAAGGAGTTGTACTAGCCTGTTGCTACTGTAAGGGTACTACTGATATAATATACATGAACACGGTCTGCCATGTAAGTGATAGACTATGTCATGCCATGTAGTCAAAGGCTTCTACTATTCATATAATATATTGACTGATATAGAAATGTTAACGAAATGTTTTCAAAATATTCATGTCATTGTGTGTAGGTATTATTGAAGGAGTTGATATTGAAAGTTCAATCATTTTTCTTACTTGACATTTTAGATTGTACCACAAACACCTTGGAATCCCATCACTGATAATTATTTTCTTAATTATCACCTTTCCTAAATAATACAAAGAATTGAATGTAATAAAGCTGCTAAGCACTAGTTAGCAGAATTGTGGAAAAAAAACGCAACATATAATTGCAATATTATGATAAGTACCTTTTAAAATTTTCCAAGCTTTTAGAATATAGTTATAGAAGATGTATCATGTTCTTAATAGAGACATTTGGGGAAGGACAAAGAATTCTAACATGAGCTGCTATGTTCAACCTTTAAAACAGTGGGAAACAGAAGGGGTTGTAGTGATTTGTTTTCCCTTCATGACTCAGGCCAGGACAGGTCATGCATAATGCCAACCTTGTTTTATATTATCACATGTGATATAGTTTTTAGGGACCCTGGGCAGCAAATGATAAATACACTCAGTTGAACGTGTCAGAAGAGTAATTTCATCCACAATAGACCTCATGAAATTTTCAACATGGTCATTTCTCTACCTCTAGTCTGTGTTATCGAGAGTTATTGGTGGTATTAGGACAGGAGGAAAGGTAACAAGTAGAATATGAGTTTATTTGATGTATCTATTTTGTGTAAGTCATAGAAGTTCATTTTTTGCTGTCTGTGTTATTCAGTTTGGGGCAGAAAAATCTCTTTTTGTAGAACCAGGTAATTTATGCCATTATGTAGTTTTCACCTTTTTATTCATAGTAACAAAAGCTTGTATTGCTTGATAATGTAGGGTAATTGACATTTTTATGAAATGCATGAAGGCTGAAAAAAATTGCCTCAATCAAATGCTGATAATGTGGCATTGTGAACCTTCCTCCAGCCCATGCATAATGTACAAGTGATGGATAATATGCTGGAGACCAGGCTTCTATTCTGGGGTTGTCTTTGTCGGGGTGTGAAGGTGGAGAATTACCCGGCAGCAGATTTATACCGCAGCTATTCTTCTCAATATGGGCAAACTCCCCCGCTCCCTCTCACCTCAAGATTGGGAGTCATTTGCAAGAGATGGGGTGCGTGGCATCTTGCATTTACCGGG